AACAGCATGTGGCACAGAGTAGGAAAGAGCATATAAGCAGTAAGAGTAGAGAGGGCGAGTGTTTAAGGTATTGAGGACAGCATCAGGGGGTGTGGTGTGTAAGGCTTTATCTGGTGGGTGATGAGAGCTGTTGAAATGGAAAGGGGAGAATGTTCCAGGCCTACCTCAAGGCATTTAGCTCCTGAATCCCGTCGCTCAGCAAACCTGCAAGTTGGCTTTTTAGTCTGTGTGGCCAGGCTCTGTGAGTTTAAGTGGTTGACAAAAGCTGAGTTGGCCATTTAGATGGAGAACAGCCTTCTGAATGATGCGTATGTCTAGCTTAGGGGGGTCAGGAGGGGTGCCTCCCCTCTGTCTCCTCTCCAGAAGCACATCCCTTTGGCCTCCCTGGGACTCAGCCCCATCCTCTGGCTCCCATGTTGCCTCTCAGCAGCCCTAGCCTTAACCCCAGCCTGGCAACCTCCAGAGTTGGGGGGAGTCTGTGGCTAAAGGGTTAACATGTCTAGAACTTACTCCCCTGGCTGCCTCTTGGCCAAGCCTCAGTCCTTGTCAAAGTTCACTACCTCCCAGACACATATGGCCTTTGATGCCGCATTCCCACGTTTAAGGAGCCAGATTCCCTCCCAACCTGCCAGGGCCCCTGTCTGCCTCTAAACCGCCTGTGTGCCTGTGTCCGGGGTGGGCACGGTGCCTCTGCTATTGGACGGCATTGATTTTCCTCCATGACAGTCAGTCATCACTGCTTCGGGTAATGTATTTTAATGAATTGTTATCCTGCTGGACGTGGACTCAAAGGACTTTTTATCATGAAGGGTCCCATCCTGAAAACCTTAATAAATCAGCCACAGTTCAAATCAGGCCTGATGCTGGGCAGGGAGGAGTCTCTCCTCACCGAGTCATCGCTAAGGAGCCTTTCTCTTGCCTTCTAACAGGCTGCCGCCCTTTAGCCTTCATGGTTGGGCCTCCTATCCTGACATCTACATAATGAGACCTCCCCACTTGACACTGGTGAGGGAAGCAGGGTCCTTAACCTCAGCGCTGGGTCAGGGCTTCTTTAGATGTGACCCACCATGTGCACGGGGACCCCATAGAGCTAGTTAACATGCCGCTTCCTGGCCCTGCCCCAGACCTATGAGTAAAAACCTTTGGAGGTCAGGCCCCAGACTCTACATTTTCTAACAAACCCCAGAGGAGATTCTCATGAACAGCAGAATTAGAAAACACCTGCCCTAAATCCATATCTCAGCATCCCATGTTTATTTCTTTCATTCTTTTTGAAGTGGATGGGCTGGAAGCGGCTTTCCGGCATTCTGGCCTGTATGCACTGTGCTTCTGGCCCCATGCGCTCTCCAGCAGCTCACTGGAGGGAGCCTGGGGAGCCGGTCGGCATCCAAGTCAGCTGGGGATTTTCCTCAGAGCTCTCCAAAAGCATGACTCGCACAGCTGGATTACGGCCGCCCTGGAATAAGGGCTCCTTGGTGCAGTGGAACTCAGCATTGAGGGTGGAGTCCCGGGCTTGGAGTAGCTGCTGGGAAGCACTGGGAGACATATTCAGGGAAACAAGTGGAGCCGATTGTGGACTTCTCAGCTTCCCTAGAGAAGTGGGCAGGGAGACGGCCATGTGACGGGCTGGCCAGGCTGGCACGGCTTGGGGCCTGGGAGCTTGCTACCCGGGCCTGTCTAACTTGTGTTTCCCCTACAGTGTATTCCCCTATTCCATTGTCATCCATGCCGGTACCCACGGCCCCAACCAGGCAGGTTCCTCCCTCTACCCGCTTTTACTGTTGTCTTGACTTCTTCTCATCCGAGACAATTTTTACCTGAACTGGCCATTCCTGGAATCTGCTGGGATTGGAGATGGATCTGGTGGCCTTTAGAGCCCTCACCCCCCTCGAAGCTCCCTCTCTTCCTTCCCCAGTCTTTCTCACTCCTCCTTGCTCTACCGGCCCCTTCTCTTTTGCCCTTCCTGCCGTAATAGATTGAAACCAACCTTGTGTTCCGGCTTCTTGTGGTTCTGGTTAATAGCTCTTAGCGTGGCCGTGGTGGATGGGGGGAAGGTGTGGGGAGCAGGGGCACTTGCCTTCCTCTCTGATGGGAGGAGCAGGGGTAGGTGCCCCACAGGTCCTGCCCATGTGCTGCGTTAACAGCAGAGCCCTCTCAGGGCCTGGACAGACCTGGGACTGGTCTGCCCTTAGTTTCTCCCCTTGGTATGGAAAGGAAGATGATCAGTGAAGGCTACAGAACAGCCTGGAGCATTTGGCCAGCACTGGGTGATCAGGAGCTGCTAGGCCCTACTTTGAGGGCAGAAATCGACCTTTTCATGTGTATTAAGCAAACAGGAGTTAATTACACTATTTACACATCTTCGATTTTCTTCCTAAGCCTTAGTGGCCTGGCAGTTATCATTCCTGACCTTGTTGCTGCACACAGGAGCCCATGTGGGGATAAATTACACGGCGGAATCCGTTTAATATTGACATTTTCAAAATCAATGAAGAGTGGGGCCTGGCCAGCAGGGCCAGGATATCAGGTGATGGCAGTCAGTGTGAATTCTGCCTCCCAGCCTCAGGGATGCTTTCTTAGCTCTTCTGCCAAAACCTCTTCTTTTGTGCTCCCAAAGGAAGTGCTGGATTGGGTCTGCTTTCTCCTGGAAGGAGAGAGGACTCTAAGATTTGCACCCAGTGCCTCTCTTTGCCTTCTGTGTAAGTGTAAATCAGAAGGCATGGGACACCCCATCTTTTGCTTTGTTGCTTTCCCCACTTCCCAGACCAGGCAAGCAGGGACTTGGGGGTTTGGGGGTGTAGGGTATGGAGGGTACCCCTGGCTCGGGAGGAAACACTCTGGCATCTCATAGTGTGGGCTGCCGAGTGGGGCCCAGGCCTGGGAATGGGCCTGCTTCTGTGGGGTCAGCAGCTTTCCAGGCACGGAGAGAAGAGACAGCCCTTCAGGCTTCCACTAACTGGTATGCGGGGCCCATCCTCATGGGAACCACCCCCAGAAATCTGAGTGGATGCAAGGCTCCTGTCTTTAGTAGTTTTCTCCTCTAGAAACAGCTTCCTGGAGGCCCTGCTTTTTTGTGTAGCAAGCGACCCAGTTCTTTGGAGAGACATGCATGAGGGTCAGGCTCTCTCATCTGCCAGTGTCAACCCCTTAGGGGTGTGGACAGACGAGCGGGAGAGGCAGCTATTCTTGCAGTGGCCTCTTAGCAGCCTGCAAGGTGTCCCAGCACAAGGCACAGGTTGCTGGACTTTCAGACCTATCTCAGCCCAAACCTCTCTCCCACTCAGACCAGCCCCGTCCCCGTGAGCCCTGTGGCAACACTCTGGCCAGTGTCACTTGGGTTCTGCTGCTGGCCTGGGTGTGTGTGTGTGTGTGTGTGTGTGTGTGTGTGTGTGTACGATGCTTGCTGGGCCTCTCTGCGCTCCTGCTCGATCGGTGACATCATTTGGTTGGCCTGTGGTTTGTGTGTGTGTGTGCCGATCAGGATGTTCCTGTTTTGTGGTTGTCTGACCACTTGTTTTTGGCCATGGGTTTCTGTATGAGTATTTATTTTTAGAGGTTGCCACTTCTGGCCCCAGGGCTGATCTGGGGGCATGGGAGGAGCTTGTGTTTTCTGAAATGTTTGTGGCTTTAAATTTAAGTATTTATTTTGGGGTGTTGCTGCCTATCGTGTGTTCATTCTATTATGTGTGTGTATGTGTGCATGTGTGAGATATGAGAGACAGTGAGTGTAGAATAATAAAAATTGTGTGCTTTTTGAAGTTCTATTTTTAATTTAGTTTTGACTTTAACTTAGTTTTATGTTTATTGTCTTAAATTAGTTCTGATATTAAGCTCCAGCTTTATCAGGTGCTATGTGTCTGCAAATAAATAGTTTCACCTCTCAGAACCTCAGTTTCTCCATCTTTAAAATGGGCCGAGCACTCCCTAACACACAGGATTAGAAACAACTTTTGTGTAAAGTATGTAGCAAAGTGTTTGGCTGCATGGTACCGATTATTATTATTTGTATTTGCATATACAGTGTGCTTTCTGACTGGGGGCACCTGGGCATTTGATGTGGGTGAACACAGGGTGCTTGATTTGGGTGATTACTGGCTGGCATGTAGGTCTTTGGACATCTTTGTGCCAAGTTGTGTGTGTGTGTGTGTGTGTGTGTGTGAGAAAGAGAGAGAGAGAGAGAGAGAGAGAGAGAGAGAGAGAGAGAGACTGTTCGGGTCTGGGTTGGGGTTTGTGCAGTATTTGGGAGAATCGGGTCTGGGTTGGGATTTGTGCAGTATTTGGGAAACTTTTTTTTTGCCAAGTGGGGGCCTGCCTTGGAGTGAGGGAAGGTGTGTGTGTGTGTGTGTGTGTGTGTGTGTGTGTGTGTGTGTGTGTGTGTGTGTATCTTGGGCTGGGAGTTGGGCTGCTGATTGTACAGGGTGTGAAATCACTGAGTTCCTCTGGGCGGGGGAAGTTCTTCGTTCCTGAGTCAGCCCTTTGGCCTTGAGCCACCCAGCGCTCACTTTTTCCTTTCAGAGAAAGTATTGCTCAAGGGGCCCTGGAGCTGTCTGTAGACAAAATGACACAGGGGGCACCTCTCCCCAATGAAAACCTCTGCCTTTTGTTCTCGATCTCTAAGATGCTTCCCTGCCCCCACCCAGTCCCTTTCCAGAACCTTCCTGGGCCCCAGCATGCAGAGTGAATGTGCCTCATTTGACATGGGGCCTGCTGGCTTTGGTCCAGAACTTCCAGGTCCTTGGGAAGCTAGCAAGATGCCAGAGGCAAATTTTGGACTGGCGACTTAACCCACAAGACCTCCTGCCCAATCTTCGATCTGCTGCCTGGCCCTGAAGCAGGGTGTTGGGATGGGTCCTTTAGTCCTTTTGCCTGTCCATCACCTTGCTCTATCGCAGGGCACTGAAAGGAGGCTTTAGGATCCAGGGAATGGAAGCCTTTACTCCTCTCCTCGGGAGAATAGATGCTGCCCCTGCTTCCCACTGACACCTGCTCTTCTCTTGCAGAGGTTGTGGGACACACGCAGGGGCCGCTGGATGGGAGCCTGTATGCCAAGGTGAAGAAGAAGGACTCCCTGAATGGCAGCACTGGGGCTGTCAACGCCACACGTCCTGCTCTGTCGGCCACTCCCAACCACGTGGAACACACCCTGTCCGTGAGCAGTGACTCCGGCAACTCCACAGCCTCCACCAAGACAGACAAGACTGATGAGCCTGCCTCCGGCCCCTCCAGTGCCCCTGTTGCCCTGAGTCCTGAGGAGAAGCGCGAGCTGGACCGCCTGCTCAGTGGCTTCGGCTTAGAACGAGAGAAGCCAGGCAATATGTACCACACCCAACACCTCCGGTCCCGCCTGGCGGGGGGCCCTGCTGTGCCCTCTGCCAGCCGTCATGTTGTCCCAGCCCAGGTTCACGTCAATGGTGGGGCCTTGGCATCTGAGCGGGAGACAGACATTCTGGACGATGAACTGCCCAACCAGGACGGGCACAGCGTGGGCAGCATGGGCACATTGTCTTCCCTGGACGGGATCACCAACACCAGTGAGGGGGGTTACCCAGAGGCGCTGTCCCCCTTGACCAATGGCCTGGACAAGCCCTACGCCGTGGAACCTATGGTGAATGGTGGGGGCTACCCCTATGAGTCTGCTAGCCGGGCAGTGCCTGCCCATGCGGGCCACCTGGCCCCCATGCGACCCTCCTACTCTGCACAGGAGGGTTTAGCTGGCTACCAGCGGGAGGGCCCCCACCCCGCCTGGTCACAACAAGTGACCACCTCCCACTATGGTCATGACCCCAGCAGTATGTTCCGCTCTCAGTCCTTCCCGGACACTGAGCCCCAGCTGCCCCCAGCTCCAGCCCGGGGGGGAAGCAGTCGGGAGGCTGTGCAGAGGGGCCTCAATTCCTGGCAGCAACAGCAGCAGCAGCAGCAGCAGCAGCAGAAGCAGACACAGAGTGTCCGGCCCAGCAGGCCCGGCCCCCAGCCATTGGCAGAGACACCCACGCCTGGCCTCCCTGAATTCCCGAGGGCAGCCTCCCAGCAGGAGATCGAGCAGTCCATTGAAGCCCTCAACATGCTGATGCTGGACCTAGAGCCATCCTCGGCTGCCGCCCCGCTGCACAAATCCCAGAGTGTCCCTGGGGCCTGGCCTGGGGCCTCCCCGCTCTCCTCTCAGCCTCTTTCTGGCTCCTACCAGACCCATCCACTGACCCAGTCCAGATCTGGCTACATCCCCAGTGGGCATTCCTTGGGAACCCCTGAGCCAGCCCCACGAACCTCCCTGGAGTCCATCCCTCAGGGCAGGTCTTACTCACCTTATGATTATCAGGCATGCCCGGCTGGGCCCAACCAGAGTTACCGTCCAAAGAGCCCAGCTTCCTCCTCTTCCTTGCCTGCTTTCCTCCCAACCAACCACAGCCCTCCAGGGCCTCAGCAGCCCCCCACCTCTCTCCCTGGCCTCGCCGCTCAGCCTCAGCTCCCACCAAAGGAGGTGACTTCAGACCCATCCCGAACTCCGGAGGAGGAGCCCTTGAACCTGGAGGGGTTGGTGGCCCACCGGGTTGCAGGTAAGAGCCTCAGGGACCATCTGTGCTGGGTATCCCCTCTTTATTCCCTCGGTATCTGTACCTTCCCTCTTTGGTCTCGGTTGGTCTAGCTGGGGGAAGGTACAGGCAGAGCCATCACACCTCAACAGACACTGGTTTAGCTTGGACAAGAGGCTGGCAGGAGCCCACACTAGTCATCCCTTCCTGCATTCATTGCCTGTTAGGCTCCAAAGCAGGCATTGAGATGGAAAGATCAATGCCTTTCAGTTCCTGTCCTCAAGGAACTTACAGTCTAGTGAGGGACTGGTAATTCTAACAGAATGCAATGTGTGCTACAACAGAGGTGGAGACCAAAGCCCTAGAGCCTGGAGAAAGCAAGGCTTATTGGCCAGGACAATCAGGGGAGCTTCCTGGAGGTAGTGACTTTGGGGCTGGAGTACATATCTTCCAAGGAGAGAGGAAATGCCCTTTGTAACTGTTTGTAGTGCTCTCTGTACTCAGACTTCAGTTTCTTAGGGAAGGCATAGAGAATGCTAGAGGGAGGTCTCTATAGACCACTGATGGCGAACCTATGACACGCGTGTCAGAGGTGACACGCAAATTCAGTTTTTGGGTTGATTTTTCTTTGTTAAGTGGCATTTAAATATATAAAATAAATATCAAAAATATAAATCTTTGTTTTACTATGCTTGCAAATATCAAAAAATTTCTATATGTGACACGGCACCAGAGTTAAGGTAGGGTTTTTCAAAATGCTGACATGCCGAGCTCAAAAGGTTCGCCATCACTGCTATAGACCCAAATTCCCTCTTGAGCATAACAAAACCTGAGAGGTTATCCTGACACTCTTGTGCTCTGAGTGTCCAACCCTGGTGGATCCTTTCAGGATATTTCTCTGTTTTGGGGGAGGCCCATGTCCCCCTTCTGGTCCAGTTGTCCTGTTGGTCCTTGCTTTAGGACCAGCTTTGTATGGGAAGCAGATGCTGAGAAACAAAGCTTCATTTCTTATCAGAACGTGAATGGGCTTATCTTTCTTCAGAGAGGAGAGAAGGTGGAGCAATAGGAAGAGCTTATTGGGGAGATAAAGGCAAGAAATGGCAGTCTGTTCGGGCCATATTGGGGGACGGCAGGAAGTGTCCCCTTCCTTTCCACTGGCCTAAGCCTATGACCATTCCATGGGGGCATTCAAACTAGGTGGGGAATCCTATGGCTTGATTTTGTTATGTAGCTAAAGCCCAGGCAGGTGTGAACCAGAGACTGGGGCTGGGGGGCAGGGGGCTTGTGCCATGTTCCTCAGCTGATAGAGTGGTGGAAGCTCAGGGAGGAGAAGAGCAATCTGGGCAGCTGACTCTGCCCTGCATCCCTTTTTCCTAAATTTATGGGAAGCTGAGTCACCACGCCAGCTGCAAGGAGAGGGAGACACCCTTGCTGGGGATGGATGGTGGGTTTGGGGAAGTAGGCCAGCTGGCTATTGCGCTGGGCCCAGGACCTGGGTGTAGGGGCATGGACACCCAGAGCAGAGCACAGTCCCCAGCTCAACTGTCCATGACTTGAAATTGGCCATAATGGAAGAAGTGACACCATTGAAACTGGCAATTAGGGCTCTCCCCTGGAGAGCTAGTCTAGCAGCACATCATTGCTTTTACCCAAGAGTCAAAACACAGGATAAGTAGCTCTGTAACCCTAGCAGTGAAAGAAAGACTCCATGGGAGTGGTCCAGACTTTTCCTCCTGGCTTTCTGAAGGGAGGGGAATGGAGCCCTCTCAATATTTTACAGACTTGGGGTAGTGGCCTGAGGAATAGTGGCGCTCTAGCCTAATGAAGGGTAGGATCCAGGGGACTTTTCTCTGGGGAACAAGATGAATTACCTCCCCCTAACAAAACCCTTCTGTATAGCTCTCCTGGAGCTAGCTCAAGAGGAAGGCATACCTGAATGTTTCAGGAAGGATGCCCATCTTGTAGTGCATCCCCCCTCAGCCTTTTCTCTCCTACTAGTTTCTGAGGTCTTGGCATCCAACCTCTCTATCTTGTAGCTGCTCTGTCTTTGGCTGCCAAGAAGTCATAGGAAAGGGGCGATATTATTGGCACATCTCTGCTCCCATTTCTTCCACTAACTGTGTATGACTCAGGAGAAGGGATGAGATGCATAGAGGAGCAGTTATACCTGGTTTCTAGGCCTGTAAAGAGGTATCTCTGGTCCATGCCCATCATGAACAATGTTTTTTATGTCAGCAGATCCTTAGTAACCCTTCAGGATGTCTGCCATGCAAGTGTAGATAAAGGCACATAAGCAGGATCAATGTGCAGAATAGTCTAGAAGCTAGGGAGGATAAATTTCCACCACCTCTTTCTGCTCATTCTAATTCCACAAGAAGCTGGAACATAAGCTTTGACATGAGTAACCCAGGAAGCTCAGATCTAAGGGAGAATGTCTTCATGGCCACGAACTTGATCTGGTTTCTCCTGGCTTTTCTCCCTCAGGTCTTCATTTTCCTACTTGGCTATCCTCCATGCTCTGTATCATGTCCCTGGTTCTTTCCACTTTGATCCAACAACTCCTTATGCTTTATTTCAGCTTAGATCTCAGAGAATAATTACGTAGTTTTTTTTTTTTTTAACTTATTAAGGGGTAGGTACCAGAAACCTGCAGCACACATGACACTTTCTTGCGAAACATTAGAAATATTATCACAGCCAGGGACAGAGTAAGCATACCCATTATCACCACTATCATTTAACATTGTATTGGATGTCCTAGCCAGTGCAATAAGACAAGAAAAAGAAATAAGAGTCGAGTTGGTGAGTCCAATCAAGTTATCTTATGATCCCAGTTCTGTGACTAGACTGATCTCAAATGTCTCTAGAGATAGAGATTTTAATGCATGTTGGGAGCAAGATGTGGATCTTATCCTTAAGGAGTCTAGAGTTTAGTAAGAGGAAAAAAGAGCTGGAACTTTAAAGTCATTGTTAATAAGGGAAGTATGGAGAAAGTTCTGTGGGATTGAGGAAAAAGGAGATATCACTATCAGCGAGAGAGACTGGAGTGACTCTGTGTTGAGTGTGGGTTTTAAACAGAACCTTGGACAATGGGTAGGATTTTGGAAAGTGAATAGGGTTATTGGAGAAAGAGGTTACACAGTGAAACAGAAAAACATAGGAGTCAAGAAAGGTAGCCTGGGTCCTGCCTCTGGTTGGTCTTAAAAGCCAGACTAAAGAGCTTGAAACTTACTTAGTGGCAGTGTAGGAAACTGTATTTTAATCGGGAGAGTATGCCATGGTCTGAGATGTAGTTTAGGAAGCTGTAGTTTAGGAGACACTTTGAGTTGGGAGATGTAGGAGCATATTAGATAGCTTGGGTATGGGAACTGGATCAGGGTGCTGACCATGGAAATGAAAAAGAAGAGATGAATGCCAAGGATGCTGTGCAAGAAATGGGTGTTTACAAATTGATTGGATATAGTGCGTGAGGGAAAGGGAGACATCAAAGATGATTCTGCAGTTCCATGAATAGAAATAGAAAGATAGTTCCATTAACTATCTAGTTCCAAGCCAGGAGTTAGGAGAAAGAGCAAGTTTAGTGTAAGATGAAGACTTCAGGGTTAGACATGCTGAGTTTGAGGTGATGGTGGAGCCTGTAGGTAGAGATGTATGAAAGGCAATTGAATATACAGAATTGGAGTCTGAAAGAGCTATAGAGTTGGAGCCATCCCCACAAAGGTGAAATGTAAATCTTTGGGCATGGATGATGTCTCTATGTCACTGGGCATGCAGAGAAAAGAACGTAGGGTAAAACAACCATGATGGAAATGGAGGCCATACAGTGGACTGAGAATGAATGTTCATGCTGGTGAGAGGAGATGCGGACTGTGGGTCATCACAGAAGTCAGGATAGTAAAGGGTTTTCAGGAGGAGCCGGGGGAAGGGCAGCATGTCACTGTAGAGAGGTCATGAGAAGGAGGACTGAGAAAAATGCACTGGGCTTGCCAATTAGGTGGCCTCAGTGATTTTCAAAGGCATATTTTCAGTAGGGTGATGGTGATAGAAGCCAGACTGAGGGACTGAGTGAGTGGGGAGGGAGTGTAGACAGCATGTTAACTACTCTTCTGAGTGGTTTTGTGATAAAAGGAGAGAAGATGGTAGCTAAAGAGGGTTGCAAGATATTCAGAACTTTTTGTACATATAGGAAAAGAGAGAATATGGAGGTTAGAGGGAGAAAAAAAAAACAGATGAGAGAGAAAGAAATTGATAGAATAAAGTCTCTAAGAAAGTAAAAGGAGATAGGCTTAGGAGTCTAGGTGGATAGTTTAGGCTCATCCAGGAGGTGAGGTACTTCTTCATGAAATAATGAGGGATAGATACAGACATAGGGAGCTTTGGGAGCTTGAATTGAGAACCTTCCATTCAATTATTCATCCAATATGAACCCCTAATCTGTGCTACATGCTATTCTAGGCTCTGGAAAAATGGTGGTAAACAAAGAAAAATCTTTGCCTTCATGGTGGAGTTGGACAATAAACAAATAAGCAAAGACATATACAATATGCCAGATGGGTGATAAGTGCCGTGGAGATAAAGCAGCAAAGTGCCAGTGAGGGGTTAAGGGTGGGTGGGTGGTTGCACTTTTTATAGAATGGTTAAGGATGGCTTTTCTGGGTGGTGAGGGAACGTGCCAGGTGAACACCAAGTGCAAAGAAGTGTACCTGCTATGGGGAGTGTAGTGGGACACGAAGTCAGAGAGGTCATGGGAATGAGGGCCAGCTTACATGGGCCTTGTAGGTGATCATATAAACTTTGGCTTTTGCTCATTTTTTTGTGAGGAGCCTTAGGAAGGATTTTGGCAGAAGAGTGATTTCATCTGATTTGTTCTAAAAGGATCAGTGTGGCCTCATGAAAGGAAGAAGACCAGTTAGGAGGCTGCTGATTTGGATCAAGATGGTAGGCATATTTTTGAGGTGGAGTCATTAGAACTTATAGGTAGACCAGCAATGGGATGTAAGAGCAAGAAGTCAGGAGGTGAGATGCCTCTTCATGAAATAATAAAGGATAGATATAGATATGGGAAAGTTAAGGTTTTTGACCTTAGAACTAGAGGATGGAGTTGCTCTTTATTGAGATGGGTACCGATATAGGAAGAGCTGGCTTAGAGGGGATATCGTAAGTGTGACTTTTGCCATGTTAGATTTGAGATGCCCACAAAACATCCAAGATGGTGGGACATATAAGTTAGGAGTCTCGGGGAGGATTGAGCTTAGAAATGTGAGGGTAGCATTGTGTGGCTATCATGTAAAGCATGCCGCTGCATGCCGTCACCTAGGGCGTGAGCACAGGTAGAGGAGAGGTCCCAGGAGTGCGTCTGGCGTCTCACACATTCAGCAGTTAGGGATGTAGGAGGAACCAGCAGAGAAACTGCTGTGGAGCAGCTTGTGCCGTGTGGAGGAAAGCTGAAAGGGTGTGGGTCCCTGGGAGCCAGTGATAGTGGCCACTGGGAGGCCAGGAGTGTGAAGGTGGCTTGGGAGTCAGCTAGGGTGAATGAAGGGATGACATAGCAGATCCTCATAGTGCGTCCAGGCAGGCTCACTTTAAGGACTTTGCAGTGATGCCCAGCAGCTTTGGGCAGGAGTAGAAAATCCCAGAGAGCAGGATTTCTATGGTAGGTGTGATGGAAGAGCAAAGGGCTGAGGGAAGCTGGGATGCCAGGGAGTAGGACCGTTGGACTCAGCCTGGCATGGTCACAGCTGAATCCAGGAAGAGGCAGGTGCCCATGAGAGGAGAGAGGACCCAGGCTGGGGCCATGCTGACTGTGAGGGGCAGGTGACATGTGGGGCAACAGGACTGAAATCTCTTCGGCCCAGGCTGAGGTTAGAAATTAGAGGGACATGGTGACCTGCCAAACAGCAGGAGGTCTGTCTGCCCTTTGGAGGAGTAAGATCCTAGACCCATCCTCTCTTCTTATCTGACCTCCTCCCCCCTTCCCTCCAGAGTGTGACCAGAATACCAACTAATTTGATTTTCTCTTTGTTTTTGTTTTGTTTTGTCTTGTTTAATGCCTTGTTCCTTGCGTTCTTCGTTGTCCCATGTCCATCTGTCCCCTGTGCCATGGGTGTGGTGCCTTCCTTGCCTGGTGTCATCCCTTCCCTTCCTGCTTGCCTCCCATCCCTGCCGGCTCCCCCGGGGTGGTGTGGGCAGCGTACAACGCCAGATTGCAGGGTCTTGGGCTAAGTGTCAGCTACCGGCACCCTCCTCTCCACCGGCTCCGATCTTCCTCCCTCTCTGGTTGGTTCCTCTCCTCTCCTCTCCCCTTTTTAACTCCATAGCCCTCATCTAGCTCTCAGTTTCTCTCTTCCCCTCCTTCATGGACTATTTCTTCCATACTTTTGCCTCTTTCTTCCTCTCTCCTTATTTTTCCATTTCCTCCTCACTTTTCTTCTTCTCCTTCTTCTGTCCTCTTCTTTCCATCTGTTTCCTATTCTCTTTGACCCTCTCTCCTTTTCTCACTGCCCGCTTCTCTCTCCTTTGCTCACTGCCCCCTTCTCTCTCCTTTTCTCACTGCCCCCCGTCTCTCTCCTTTTCTCACTGCCCCCCTTCTCTCTCCTTGCCCACCTGTCTCTCCTCCCTCCTCCCTCCTTCTGCATGAGTGAGTGCTCCCACTTCTGCATGGACACAGGCCTGATGCTTCCAGCCTTGGCCTTACCTGCTAGGAACAGGGTCTGGGGTAAGGAGACTAACTCTCAGGCTCCCTGTGGACACGCAGGTCTTTGCAGTGAGGGAGCTCAGCGCCAGGTCTGGGGCCTCAGCAGGAGACAAAGAGTGGTGCCCAGCTCCTGCTGCTCTGTCCACTCCTGAGTATAGCACTCCTTGGGGACAGAGCACCGCTGTGACCTCATTCCAAATCTCTGATACCCATGGCCAAGAGTCAGAAGCCCTGGGTGTGGCCCTGGGTATGACGTGACCACCTCTATGACCCTGGGCAAGTCTTTTCATTGCTCAGAGCTAAGTTTCCCCATGTGAAAAATGGAGGGATCACTGCCCTGCTGTGGGTACTTCCCAACATGGGGGACCCTTCATCAAGGACCAGATTGCTCTGTTTGGGAATGATGGCGTTCGCTGTGTCTACCTTGGTCTCTTGACAAATGGACCGATAGCCTTTTAGGCCTTGGGACCGAGTCACCTTATTCTTTCCCTGCTCCTTGGAGCTGCAGGCCTGAGCCCAGGAGAAGATGCCATGACCTTGACTAGTTCCAGGAAAAGGCTTATCGGGGAAGTGGGCACAGTTGACTCCCAATGGTAATATCTGGTATTTCCCGGACCTCCCTTCTCCCAGTCCATGGAAAATGGGGAGATGGCTCTAGCAGAATGCCCCTGTCTGCCTCCTCTTCTCTCCCTTCTCCTTTTTCTCGGCCCAGTGGTAGGGAGTGCAGGGTTCAGCTGGGCCTGGGGTTTGGGGCCGTTCTGGGGTGGTGGGCCTGTCCTGAGGGGAGCTGGCATGGCTTGCCCTGGGGCTGCTAGTGTGATTGCCGTGTGGCTTTCTGGTGCCCTGGCCCAGCAGGTGGCCTCCCGGATCCCCTCACTTCCGGAGCCCTGGCATGCCATCGGACACCTGTCCCGCCACCTGGAGCTGAGGAATCCAGTCTTCTGGAAATCGGAAGGCTGGAAGGAAGAGCTGGGTCTGTGGGGTGGAAGCGGCCAGGATGGGCTTGAAGGGAAGGCCTGTGATGAAGCCTGACATTGGGGATATTTGTCTGTGGGACCAGGGGTGGTCAGGGCTGGACCCCACCAGAGGGTGTGTATTGATAGTGTTAGAACTACAGCCCCCGAATTGCAGTGCATGTTTGTGTGTGCATGTGTGTATGAGTGTGTGTGCGTGCATGTATGTATGAGTGTGTGTGTGTATGAGTGTGTATGAATGTGTATGAGTGTGTGTGAGTGTGTGTGTATGAGTGTGAGTGTGTGTGTGTATGAGAGTGTGTGTGTGAGTGTATGAGTGTGAGTGTGTGAGTGTGTGTGTGTGTGTGTGTGTGAGAGAGAGAGAGTATGATTGTGTGTGTGCTAGATGAGGTGGATTTAGTGTCACAGGTCTAGCCCGCTTTAGGGGGGAGCCTTGCAGCCAGCTGCTCCCAAGCTCAACACCATCTGGGGAGCAGAGTGAGGACCCCTGGGAAATGGGGCTGTTCCGGCGCCCTGCTCTTCAGGTCTGGCGGCTTGTGTGGATGCCCTGGGCTGAAGTGACCCCTGTCCTTATGTGGGGAAGGCCCAGTGCCCATGGTGTGTGAGCCCTGAGAAGGCTACAGAGGGCTCTGAGTGTGGCCCATCATTATCCTAAAGAACACTTGATTACTGTAGGAAGGGGCTGACGAGAGGTTCTGAGGGTAACCCTGACCTCCCGCTGTTCCTGTTGGGTGAAGGCTATGTGTGCACACATGTGTGTGTATACGTGTATGTGTCTGGTGCCTGTGTGCGTGTAGAGAGTGGAGCACATAGCATGGTGGCCCTGAGAGAGAGAGAGGGGCCCTAGAGACAGAAAGGCCTGGGGTTGAGGGTGGGGGAGCAGGCCTATTCTTATTATCGGTCAGTCTCCAGGACGTGAGGGAGGGCTGTTCTCTCTCTGACACTGGCTGTCAGCCTGTGGCCAGACGGCCCAGCTTGGCTGGGGAACAATGGGGCTCTCTTCTCTCCCCTCCGCCCAGCTTCATCTCCCCTCCCATCGGGAAAGACAAGAGAGAGGGAACATGGCTCTCCGGGCACTGAGGGGCAGATCTGGGCCTGCCAAGGGGGACAACAGTGAGACACTGTGTTCAAAGAATGTGAGAGGCCCTGGCTGGGCACTGGTGCTGTGGGGCGCTCTGCGGGGGAGGGGCTGTCCCGTGGGAGTGGAATGCGGGGTCTTCCCCTCCTGTAGAGGGAGGCTCCCCTGCAGCGCCCTCGCTCTTTGGAGGTCATTCTGGTTGTCCCTCTGCCTCTGGACAGACCACGTTCCCATGTACCGCTCTGGTGACACTGGAGAGGGGCCGGGAAGAGGGGAGATGGCTCTCAGGTGTCCAACAGCCTTCTGTGAGGGTCTCTGCCCTCCACAGTTGGTAAGCCCCTCCAGCAGCCCAGCCTCCCTCCAGGCATTGCAACTGCCTGAACATGGAGGTTGTTGCGGGCACACTGGGGCGAAGGTTCTTTGTTCCTCTGGGAAATTCAGTGCCTCCAACAGACCCACTTTCAAGGGCAGACATCAGATCCTACACAGGGAAACGGGCCACTCCTCACCAAGGCACGGATCTGCCAGGAAGAGGCTGTGGGGCTGGGCCAGCCGGAACTGAAACCAGCCCTAATGCATTTCTGTTAACCTTGGGGCTGAACTTAGTTCCAAACCCCAAGAGCCTTTTCCAAATGGGCCTCCTTTGTCACAATTATTATTAGAAAATCAATGGCTATGTCTGTTTCTCTCTAATGTTTTTGCCAGGAATGAAACCAGCAGTAGTTCTGAACCAAGCGCCCAGGAAGGCTGAGGGGAAGGGGGCTCTGAGAGAGAGAGAGAGAGAGAGAAGTGCAGCTGAGGGTAGGGGCGCCCGCAGGCATGGTGGGGGGTGCAGGTGGCTGCTCTGAGGGCTGAGGGCCTAACACCCCATCTTTCATCTGGCCCCTGGTTAGGATGATGTGATCCCCAAATTTCTATTCTGAAAGTCAGGGCACTTCAAAGCGAGGAGCTTGTTTTCTTTAAATAAAACAGTTTGTGAGTCCAGATTACAGTCCCCATTTGGGCTCTTTTCTCTTAGTTGAGATGGCAGGCAGGCTGCCCCCTAACGATAAATAGCTCCATGTGGAGACTCAAAACACTATCGGGTACCTTCTGCATTTGTAAGTGTGTGTGCCAGTCCGGTGGCTCTCCAGACGTGGCCCCTAACTATGGGCAAGTATGAGTGTGTGTGTCGGAGTGTGTCTGTGTGTGTGTATGTGCCCCTGTCCCTGGAGTTGGCAGCAGGGAGCCTGCTATTCATGGCAAGCAGGAAGGCTTCCCAGCATGTGCTTCTCATGGCAGCCTCAGCGGCCGTGCCAGACGGGAGCTGGGAGGCCGCCCGTGGTGTGCAGACCCCACTCTGGGTGGTAGATGATTCGGTCTGAAGGAGGGTGATTGCTGCTTGGCTGCAGCAGCACATTCCTAGGGGCCAGCAGTGTATGTGTGTGTGCGGTGCATGTACATGCATGTGTGCGTACGTGTATGTGTGAGTGCATGTGTGCCATGGGACAGGGTTCCCAGGTGTGCTGGCATGGGGTTGGTGTGGCCAGGGTCTCAGTCCCATGTGACCTTTGGTAAGTCCCAGCACCTCCCTGCTTTTGGGTAGGGGTGAGGGCAGGGCTGAGAGCTGGCACTAGCTGATCAGGACTAGGAGCCTGGGTCTTGGTCTCTGGGACCCAGGGGTGGAAGGGGCGGGGGGAAGTTTTCTAGGATTCTGAAGCCAGCTCGGTGAGGCAATGTGTTCCGTGCCACAGCCCAGCTGTGGGAAGAGAGAGTGGGAAGGAAGGAGGGTGGGGTTAACAACATCCCCAGGCCCGAGGAATGGAAGGAAGAACAGAAAAGCAGATGGAGCTCATGACTCCAGCTCTGCAGGCTGTTCTGCTGGGAGGGGCAGGGTAGGACCCTGGACCAATTTGGGGGCAAGAAAGGGGTGGGTAGCCAAGGACGGGCATAAGGGAAGTTGGTAAGAGGTTTCAGAAGTGCACTGGATGAGGTTGGGGAACCCCGGAGAAGGTCAGCAATATTCCAGGGGCCAGTTTGGGCTGGAGACTTTATAACAAGACTTAGTCATTTCTTTGTTCCTTCTTGGGAGCACCATTTGCAAGATGATGCATTATGCACTCTTGCCAAAAGTTCTTCCCCATGGGCCTGATGTTGCTTGTTGGTTGATCAGTCGCCTTGGAGACTGTCTCTCCTCCCTCCACCTTCCCTCACTTGCCTGGAAGCTCTGGCCCTCTGCCTCCAGGCCTTGGAAGGAGTTGACATCTGTTTCTTGTATCAGTCCTTTGTGTTCTGGGCGCCAACCCTGTGCGATTCCTGGTGAAGGCCAGCCCAACTTGCGCAGGTCCCCCGCCCTGCAGAGAAACCCAGGGTGTGGGCAGAGGGAGGCAGGGGGAGGTGCAGAGGGAGGCAGGCCCACCTCCAGCATGGCCCCTGAGTGTGCACTGTCTCCTCTGGGGGAATCAGGCCCCATCGATCCTTTCTTGTACAATATTCTCATGGCCCTCTCTGCCCTGCCATTCCTCCCAGGGGTGCAGGCTCGGGAGAAGCAGCCTGCAGAGCCCCCAGCCCCTCTCCGGAGGCGGGCAGCCAGCGATGGACAGTATGAAAACCAGTCTCCAGAACCCTCATCCCCCCGGAGTCCTGGGGTGCGCTCCCCAGTCCAGTGTGTGTCCCCAGAGCTGGCTCTCACAATTGCTCTCAATCCTGGAGGGCGGCCCAAAGAGGTGAGTCCTTAGACCACATGCTGGGGCCACAGAAGGTAGTGGAGCCCATCTGAATGCCCCAGCAACATGATGGTCCACTGGGCAGCACAGACCTGTCAGTAACCTAGTAATTGTTTTCCTCTCCGCATCCTCACCCAAGGCTTCAGCATGTGGAACCTGGAGCTCATTTCCTTCCCTAAATAGCTTTTATGTCCTCGCGTCTTTCATTAACATTGAGATTGAGTTCCCTTCTTGACTCCTAAAGAGTTCCCTGGGCGGTTGGTAAGAATCTGGGTGTGACACAGCGACCACAGTCTATAGACTTCAAAGCAGATCATAGAGTCTGACAAAGTGTTTTTGAGCCCTTGCTAGGTATAGGATTTTCCCTGGAGATCTAACTTCAATGCCCAAACCTTTGCATTGCTGAGACATTTCAGTGGTTTGAGGCATTGGATCTTAAACTTCAATGTGCGTAATGATCACCGGGAGTTTGTTAAAATGTAGATTCCCAAATCCACCTCCAGAGGTTCCGGCGTGTTAGCTCTGGGATGGGGAACCTGCATTCTACACGTGCACTCTGGAAGGTTCTGATGCGAGTAGTCCGTGTCCGATAGAATCCAGGCTGAGTCATTCTGGACATGAATAGCTTTTGGACATCTTTTCTCTCCTGCCTTCTGCTAGGACCCGTGTCCCCTGACCCCAGCTCTTCACTTCGGCCCTGTTTGAAATATTTCCAAAGCAGGTGCTCCTGAAGTCCGCCTGTGCCTTACAAACGGCCTGGCAAAATAACCACTTTCCATTCTCTTGGCTACAAGGAGTTGTAGGGGCCATGAATTTGGGCAGCATCTGCCTTTGATCTCTGTTCACCTGGTAGGGGTGAAGGGTTGGGTTGGCGAGGGGCTTTGTGGCCTGGTTAACTGGGAAACACCTCCTTCTCAAGGTTATGGCCACTAATGTATCCCCTTTCCTCCCCTTGTTTTTCTCCTGCAGCCCCACTTGCACAGCTACAAAGAGGCCTTCGAGGAGATGGAGGGAACCGCTCCATCCAGTCCACCGCCCAGTGGGGGTAAGAGCTCCCCGCTAAGCCTGTCTTCCTTGGGTCCCCTCAGGCCCCTCTCAATCCCTGCTTGTGTAAGCACCCCAGGTTTGGGGTGGGGGTGCTGGCAAAGTTGAGCAGAGCCACAGTCTGTCCTTAGTCACCCTGTGGCTCATTTCACTTCACCGTTTAGCCCCATTTCCCTTCTTTTCTGTGGTCCACACCCCCACATCTACAGAGACAGCAGCGACGTATTAGGGTCCTACTGACTGACATTGGGGCCCCTGGGCTCCTGGGTGTGGAGTTTTTCTAGACGTTGAGACTTTGCGTCCTCCATACAAAACATCCCGTACTCTAAAGTGACTCTTTGTGACAAGCAAGACAGCCCTTAACCTTCTTGCTTCTAATGCCTATTTCTGTGTGCGTCCGAGCCCGTCATTCAGTGTCTGTCAAGGAAAGAAAGGCCCCGCATGCTCAGGCTTACTGAGTCCCATCTCTCCCATCCTTGGCCTTCAGGCGGGAGCATTTAGTCTGCACCCCCGATGCACTCACCAAAGAGGCAAATCCCCAAAGGTCAGAGGGGTTTCCACCCGAAGAGAAGGCTGGATGAGCACAGGAGTGGGACAGTGCTCCTTTTTATGGGGGAAGAGACTGTGCAGAGGAGCTTGGAGAAGCGCTTTGTGGGGAAGCAGTGAAGGAACAACACTGGGCTGTGAAGGCTCCAGGGTTCCCAGGAGAGGCCTGGGTTGGCAGAGGAGGGGGGACTGGTGTCGCTCTGGGATCGGGTTGGCTGGGCTGGGCCCAAGCTATCTATGCCTTTGCCCTGTGAGAGGGGAGGGGTGTGAGGAGGAGAGCTGGGTGGGCCCTGTGTTCTCCTGGTGGCTGACAGCAGAACCAGGCCCTTGCTCCAGTAGAACTTGTGTCGCCTGCTATCTGGGGCATGCGGGAGGCTGACGTCATGACCGGAGGCCATGGCTCTCCCTAGAGCAATGCTGTCCAAAGGAAATATAACATGAGCCACATTTGTTATTTAAACATTTCAAGTAGCCACATTTAAAAAACATACCGAGAAACTGGAGAAACTAAATTTAATGATCTTTTTTATTTAACCCCAAGTATCCAAAATATTATCATCTCAACAGGTAAATCACTATAAAAATAGTAATGAGGTATTTTTCAATCTCTAAAAAATATAAAAAGAAACCAGTGAAATGAATTTTAATAATAGATTTTATTTAACCCCAGCGATCTAAAATATTATCATTTCAACATGGAATGGTAAATATTGAGATATTTTGTGCTCCTGTTTCACACCAAGTCTATGAAATCTGTGTGCGGTTCAGACTAGTCACATTGCAGGTTCTCCGTAGCCCTATGTGGCTCATGGCGACCCTATTGGACAGTACAAGCCCTGGGCAATCTACTCAAGAGGCAGCTCTGTGGTCATTTATGACTCCCTGGAGTCTCTCCCTGGCCTTACCCTTCACCTTCACACCTACTCTAATTCCCTATCAGTCCGAATAGCCAAGATCTTGGCCATCCTCCTGTTTGGGACGGAAGCCCTGTAGGCTGAGCTTGGGTTGGGTTTTACTACTTGTTCACGCTCCCAGTTTTTCTCTTTCTCCCCTTGGTCAGTCCTGGGTGCCCTGGAGGGGGAGGGGAGAGTAAGTTAGAGGTTTCATCCATGCACAGGGCTGGGAGAGAGGGCAGAGGCAGAGAAATGCAAGGAATTCTCCCTGAAGCAAAAGCTTTGCCTGGCTGTAGGGCCACCCACTCGTCTGCCTCAGAGAAGGGCCAGGTCCTGCAGACTGGGGGCATGAGCAAGTAGGGAGCTGGAGTTGCATGAGGGGAAATGAGAGAAACCTCCCACACTTGAGGCCTGGAGAGCCTTCATGGTTCCTCATGGCCTCTGAAGCTGGGCATTAAAATCCATTGTGTGACAAACATTAATATGTGCTGATAAGTGTCTATGGCAAGACACTTCTGTGTATGTGTGTAAAGGGAGAGGGCGGGACCAACAGTCACCACACCTAGACCTACCCAATGCCCGGCTGTGTGTTTGTACACAGTTGTCCCCTCTGCTGTATTTATCTTTTTGGCATCTGAGGACAAAGTGAGGTGGAGGGCAGGAGTGGGCTACCCACTGGAGCCCTGTGATGTCTCGCTATTCTCACAGACACGTACCTACACACCTGCAAACACACAGAAGTTATATAGGTTACTTGCCTTGAGAGATTGTATTTTTTGTTGATTTCCTGTAGGTCTCACTGTCTTTTGGGAAAGGTAGATGGGGCCAGAGAGAGTCCCAGAGCTGCTTTGGGGGACAGCTGAGGGCCACAGCTAGTCTGCTGAGGCTGTGGGTACGGGGCAGGCCGCTTCGGCTGGCGGATCTGTGTGGCTGCGTGTCCTCAGAGCTCATGTTTTCTGCAGGCTCCTGATGACCGGGATAGCAGAAACAGAGCTCTTTTTTTTTGCTTCTCTTTGGAGATGTGTTAGGATACATGGCAGCCACCATTGAAAAATCTCGTGACTGGGTGTAACAATCTCTCTGTAGATCAGTTTAGAGTCTGGCCTCTTCCTTGGCTGGTGGGACAAAGCCTGGCAGCCCTTTCTGACCTTGTGTGTTATGTGACACTTCTGACCTGGACATGTGGCTTGGGAGGGACCTGAGGTTAGTGCAGGGAGTTGGTGCTCTGGCCCGAGGATTGTGGAGATTGGGCTTCTTCCTCTTCTAGAACACTGAGGTTTTGGGGAATAGAGGGCCCCAAGCTGAGAAATTCTGCCTGGAGTGTGCAAAGGACATGCTTGGTTGCGAGTCAAAGACCTTTGGCTGCCACTGGCCTGGACTCTCAGGGTTGGCATGGTTCCACTGACCCCTTCTCCTCCATCTGTCCGTGACAGGATGTGCCCTCTGGATGCTCCATTTTCTTTTGTTCTCTAAGTCCATCTAAGTGCCTGGCTTAGAAAGACTATGTATGGGGGGAGAGGAGGAGGAAGAGGGAATAACATATGGGAAAAATCAGAGATAGCCAAAGAAACCTGCATGTATGTTAAACCATGGCATGTAAAGTGACTGTAGTGAAGAAACTAAGGGCCTAGGGAAAGGAAGGATTTTCTCAAGGTGGAGAGGCAAGGCCAGGACAAGGACACCATATCCCGACTCAGTTTACCTTCAAACTGCAGAGAAACACCCAGACAGGGAAGGGCAGTGGAGCCGCAGCAGTGCGCTCCTAGGCTGGGACTGGTTCCTCTGTTCCCGCTCCTGTGGCCCATTCCTCCCCAATAAGCCCTCACCAATGGGTACCTTCTCTCCTGCCCCCCTCCCCTACACCTCCCGACTCACTCCCCATGCCTCCCCTCTTCTTTCCCGCACAGTGCGCTCCCCTCCAGGTCTGGCCAAGACACCCCTGTCTGCTCTGGGCCTGAAACCCCACAACCCAGCCGATATCCTGTTGCATCCCAAGGGCGGTGAGTGGCTGTGGCTAGAAGGGAGATGGTGGGGAGGCCAGAGGGAGGAGTGGGGACTCGGAGGACCCCTGTGGTCCTGGGCGGGGCCCAGAGGTGGTGGGTTATCCAGACCTTCCTGGAAACAAGTTGGCAGCTTGGGTTGTGCCCATGCTGAGGCCCGGATTGAGGCGGGAGATCCCTTTGCAGCCTTCCTGCCCATTGACTTGTGGGGTCAGCACCACTCCCAACGTCCTCTGACTTGGGGATTTGAGGCCTGGCCTCGGTTTCCTTGGAGTTGGTTAGCTCTCTGCCAGAAGCCAGGCTGCCCCGTGTCCTGGTGTTCAGACACTCGTGTACGCATACACATGTGCGCACAACTGCAGGCATGCCCACACACACTCATACCAGGCTCACACCTCCCACTTCCTTGTCTCATCTCCCCGCTCCTCTCCTTCCTGTGGGGGAAGGAGACAGTGGGGGCCCTGGGCCCTCAGTGGCCATTTCCAGCATGCTGAGTCCAGAACTTGCTCTCTAGACTCAGGTGTTAGGGCTGGGCTGGGACTCTGGGGCCAACGTGGCTTCTTTTCCTTAGTCACCAGAAGACTGATCCTGCCAGGTAGGAGCACAATGGCATGTGTGTGTGACCCACAGACACACGGCCTGGCACAGCCTCCCACTCAGGAGGTTCTGCATGGCCAGGGACACAGGAGAAAAGGGGGTGGGGCGGCCTCTCACCAGGCCAGGACACTCCTGCTTGAGACCCAGCCTGAGAGAGCCCTGGGCAGCGGCTGTGACAGGGGTGGCTTGGACTTAGAGCCATGGGAGCCGTGCCTGCAGCTCCTGGGAGCCAGGTCCTCTTTACACTGTGTGCCCCGAGCACCTTGCCACCATGCCCAGGTGCCCTGGAACCCGGGGTCCTGTCAGGGTGGACCTCACCCCTCCCCTCGGGGCACTTCTGTGGAGAGTCACCGCTGCCCTAGCGTCACCCCTGCTTTCCCACCTCCCTTTTCTCAGCTAATTCTCTCTCAAGAAGTAAGCTCTGTTAATTGATCTTTCTCTCCCTTTTGCTCTCCCTCTCCTCTTCATCGCCTGCCTCTCTTTCCTCCCACCTCTCTTCTCATCTTCCCCAGAGGAGGATGGGGGGCAGGAGGTGATGGAGCCGTCGGGAGGTAAGTGCTGGCTTGCTGTGTGCTGCTTCCCGCTGTCCGGGTCTGGGAATGGCTTTTCACACAGAGCTGGCTGGCTGGTTGGGGGCAGCCCTTTGCTGACCACGTCTTAAGGGACCAGGCACATAGCCTCCTGGTCCCTACCCCCTGGTGATGAGCTGTCCCCCAGAAACTGCCTGAGCCCTGACTGAGGAGCTCGTGGCTCAGGTTCAGGCGTGGCTAGTGCCCAGGTGCCTTGCTGACAAAACACTCCCTGTCGCTGCCACCCCAGTGGCATTTCTGCCAGCCTCCTGGGGTACAGCAAGCCCCTTTGGAGGGTGAGGAGACTCACGCAGGGCAGGGGCTCATTATTCCATTTCCTGGGTGTACTCTGCATGCAGAGCTCGGACCAGGGGTTTCAACCTTCGCACTACTGACATTGGGGGCCGGATGATTCTTAGTTGTGGGGCTGCCCTGTGCATTGTGGGATGTTTAGAAGCATCCCTGCCTCTGCCTGGTGCCAGTAGCACCCACCTACTCATGATAATTAAAATGTCTCCAACATTGCAAGTGTCTCCTAACGGGACAGTCACCCCTTGGAACCACTATCTTAGCGCCATGAGTTGACCTCTTGAAGCTCTTGCCTGGTTTCTTATCAATACAAATGGTAGGAGGTCTATTTCTCTGGGATTTTGATGCCTTTGGGGATTTCAGAAAAGCTATGGACCCACCCCTGTGCATCTGGATACCATACGCATAATGTTGGCGGTTTCAAGGCATTAGCGTGTCTGTGTCTCCACCTAACCCTAATTTAGATGAACTCCACATTGTACATGGGGAAGCAGAAAGGGGATGCAGTCTGGTTGAAAGCCTTTACGTTATTAGGAACGGAGTTCAAATGAGGACTCAGCAGCAGGTGAAACACAAGGGGGTGCTAGCCTGGGTGGCCTGGGTGTGGTTTGGTGGCACCTGGTATGGTCAGGCCATCTCCACCAGGGAGGCTTAGATGAGTGTAGAAGCACCTTCCAGCTTGACATTTTAGATGTTCTGACTTCCCACTGGGACCCAAGGTCCCTGTGGCCTAGTTTCCTTAAACCCACTTCTGCTTTCCTTGGCACTTACCGCCTTGATACTCTACCCCCAAAGCGGGCATGTGCTGTGCTGCTCTGAATCTGCCATCCCCCAGGCAAGATGGCTGGGGATTCCATAAAGTTTTGCCCACTTTCAGCCGGAGTTTGGGCAACCACGCCAGGCTGCCTGGAGGTTGCAGAACAAGGCACCCAGCAACCGATCCTAGAGCGGGGTGAGCTGCAGCTTGCTCCTGGCTGCTGGTTCCCGACAGGCAGGGAAGCCGGGACAGGAGTGCAGAGTAAGCTTGGCCCTGGAGCCAGCGGCCGTGTCTTTCAGATGCCCACCCACTCTCCTCGTGGTTGCTGACTCCAAGAGACTGGTGGGCCCTCAAGCCCTCTCCCGCGGGAAGGTTTGAGGGGGACTCTCCCACAGGCTGACAGGCCTTGGCTCTTTTCCACTTTGGGATGACATTTCAGAGGAGTGAGTATCTAAAATACCGAGCTGAGACCTGCCCATTGTCTACATGCATGACTCTCACCTACAAGGCCTCCAGTCTCCCCTCCCCTGCTTCCATCTGTCCCTAAGCCACAGAGTTAGGAGGGGAAGGTTCTTGGGGATCAGCTCTGCCACACCCATCATTTCACAGCTGTGGAGCTGAGGGCCTGCTTGTGGGGACGGTGGGGGCATCTGCCCCAGGCCACAGTTAGGAGGCAGTGGGGCTGAGTGTGGAAATATCTCCTGTCTCCTAGTCAAGTGGCCATTTCAAAGCCCTCCTCCTGCATCCAGGCACGGCGCCCTGGGAGTGCAGCGTGGGGGTTGGAATTGCTGCCATGGCCTGAGGAGTGGGGTGGGTCGGTCAGGGAGCTAGGCTGTGGGCAGCCAGTTTCATTTTTCCTGACTCATGTACTGCCTCCTGGTCAGACGAAAGCACATTCCTTGCTGACCCTCTGAAACTCTGCTTTCCCTGCTGATACTTTGATGGGGGAAAAAAATGCCCGTGAGAAAAGTGGTCAGAGGCAGAATTACTCAGCCAGGGGAAAGAAAGACTTCAGGGGACTCTGCTCCGTTCAAGGCACCATGCTAAATGCGCCTATTAATTTATCCTGCCATTCATTGATTCAGTTAGTCAATACATATTTTGTGTGCTTACTATGGGACAGGCCCCGTGCCAGGCTTCGGGGATATAGTGGTTCCTAATCCTCATGGAGCATATGCATGAACAGGAGCCAGAATTAAATGATCACTCAGAATTACATATCGAGGTCAGTGCTCTGAAGGGAAGGGATGAAGTTTTATGTGACCTTACAGCAAAGACCCTGATCTTGGCTGAAGAAGTGAGATGTGAGAGTGAGTGACATTAACTTGGTGGAACTGGGATGGGAGGAGAGCATTCCACGTAGAGGCAAAGGGCATGTGCAAAGGCCCTGGGGTGGGAGTCAACAGCATGTTTTTTGTAGGAACTACAAAGTCAGTGAGGCTGAGAGCAAGGGGGAGCTGCAGGCTGGAATTAGGGGATACCAGGGAGACTGTGGTATAGAGTGGGGTTCAACAGGCAGGGACAAGACTGTGTAGGGTCACTTCACATCTTGTTTGATAATCACAGAAACACTGAGGAGAAGGTGCTAGGAACCCCGTTTTACAGGTGAGGAGATGACATATGGGGATGTTAAATGACTTGTCTAGGCCCACACATCAGTCAGGCACAGCTGGGATCCTATATTGGATCAGCATGTGGATGATGTCCCTTTCCATGTGGTTGCCATGGGCACAACCTCTGAACATCAACAGTGACTTTACTGGGCATGGGGACTGGGTACTCTTTCATGAAGAAAGGAGAGGAAGAAAGCCTTTAGCAATAAAGACATGAGGCCAACATCCAGAGTATATACTCAGTGACACAGGGAGGAAATATATTCTCAGTGACACAGGGAGGAAAGGGAAAGGGGGCGTTCAGGTTAGGTTTGGCTCCTCCAGAGGATTAGAGGGCTCGGTTTTGCATAAAGGAAGACACATGGGTCTAGAAATGTCCCCTCCTGGGATTCTTCCTGCTCTGAGATCCTTGGTGCTGGGTGTTCTGTGGCACCTGGGATTTTAGGGCAGGGCTGTGGGATGCAGACTTATTGAGCACCTACTATGTGCCAGGTCCTGTCCGAGGCACTGAGGGTATAAAGACAAGTGAGATTTCAGCATCAGGTGGGATGCTGAGTGGGGTAGGGCTGGGGTGTAATTGGAGCTCAGAGGACTAGCATGTGGCCCAATCGAAAAGGTCTGAAATTCTGACTTTTGAGCTTCTGGATTGGGACTTGGGGGTCTCTTTACTTCCTCCCTCTCCCCCACCCACAAGTCTTCATTTACTTGGAGTGGACAGGCGCCCTCCTGTCCAGGCAAAGAGCCTCTCCTGGGAGGCAGAGAATGTACTTTAGGGTGTGAGTAAAGAGGCGACAGTCCCCCAGCCTGGTAGGGCCAAGTCTCTCTTGGGTCTCCAGCTGCTCTCAGCCGCCAACAGCCACTTGGAATGGGTTTGGTCTCCTGGAATGTTCTACATGAAGCACCCTCCCTGGCCCCACCTCTCCCCCCCGCTGCCCAACCCTGTTGCCTCTGGGTGCAGCTGCCCAGGATTGGAGGAGAGAAGGGAAGCAGCAGGAGAGAGGGTGGAGGGATGCAGGCGCAGGCCCAGTTGGGGCTTCAGGCCCGGCAGGGGCACAGGCTAGCAATGGTGGTTCAGAGTGTAAACAGCTAACTGGAGTCACCAAGAAAGAATTAGAAGGAACTCCTATCACTTGATCCTGGCTGGGCAGGTGCGTATTCTCATTCCCATTTTCAGCAGCCTCTCCCAGGTCACCCATACAACAAGTGAGCCCATGCAGTAGTCGTGGCTGAGTGGTTAAGGCAATGGACTAGAAAAAATGGGAGCCCACAAGTTGTACATGGTACTGAGGTGGGGTGGGGCAGGAATAGACAGGAAAAGGAGGAATTTTCAGTATAGAAATCTGTGTCTGAAAACTTGGAAAAACTGAGTTTTTGGCCTAAAAGGTTGGTTTTGAATAGTTCTTGAGATGGACTCAGAAAATGAAATAACTTCCTCAAGTCCCTCTTGCTCTGGATTCCTGAGGAGCGGAGATTGAGCAAAGGAACTTCACCCAGATCTACATGGACCCGGGGGGCATTGCTGGTGGGAGAAGAGCACACGCTTCAGAGGTCATGTGGGTTTTAGCTTGAGCTTTGCGGTCAACAAGACTTACAGGGAATGAGAAAAATGAATGTGTGCCTCTTAGATCTTAGTTATGACGCACCTTCATCTGGGTAGGGCTGGAGGGTAGAGATCATGCATCTGCTAGTTTGTGGGACAAAGACGTATCTAGGGCCTACTAGTTGTCAGGCACTGCACAAGGGGGCGGATGGATCCTCCGGCCGTCCCTGGGTGGGAGAGAAGTGTGCCGAGTGCTGTGGGGACCCTGGTGAGGCTGGGAGCCTGGAAGCGTTCAGAAGGAATTTTCAGAAAGAGTGACCTCAGGCAGTGAGGAATGGTGGGGAGGGTGTGAGGCCCTCTTCTGCCAAGCTGGGTTACCCCAGGACACAGAGCCAGCCTCCAAGGCTAAAGATATACTGAAATTATCAGCTCCCCAATTTTCAGCTGGCCATATGTGCAGTGGGCCAGAGAGCAGGCTCTGGGCCAGACCACCTGGTTCCCAGACCACCTGGTTCCCAGACCACCTGGTTCCCACTTGCCTCTGTATGACTTGGGCAAGATACTTACATTCCCCAAATCCTACTTTCTTCATATATTGTTTGCTATTATAATAATTATTATTATGATGATGATGATGATTATTATTTTGTTAATCCTCTCTGGAGGATATTTCTTCAATAATTTTTAGAGAGAGTAGAAGGGACGAAGGGAGGAGGGGGAAGAGAGAGAGAGAGAGAGAGAGAGAGAGAAAGAGAGAGAGAGAGAGACATCAATGTAAGAGAGACACATTGATTGGTTGCCTCATGCATGTGCCCCAGTGGGGATTGAACATGCAACCCAGGTACATGCTGTTGACCCGAAATCGAACCCGTGACGCCTCAGTGTGTGGGCCAGTGCTCTAATCCCTGAGAAACACCAGCCAGGGCTATTTTTATCATTATTAATATCCCTGTGGAGTTGACTCTTCTCTGGGTAATGGGTTGGAGTTCTGGGTAGCAGCCAGTTCTGGGTGCCCCCATGAGACTGTGGCCCCTCTCTAGGCCACCCTGAGCCACCAATGAGATCAGGAGGCCGTGGTGCTAGTATCCACAACCACTAATTGGCTGTGTTCTGGGACAAATCACTACACCTCTCTGGGCTGAGGAGATGGGTTAGACCAGACGTAAGCAAACTTGGTCAAATCTGGTCCACCATCTATTTTTGTAAGACAGTTTTATTGCAACTCAGACATGCTCATTGGTTTATGTGCTGTTGCCACAGCTGCTCTCACTCTGCAATAGTGAATTGAGTAGTTGTGTCAGAGGTGTCTGACCACCAAGCCTAACATATTTACTACCAGGTCCTTTATAAGAAAGTGTGCCTGCCCCGGGTCAGAAGATCTCTGTGGCATCTCCTGGTTCCAGTAGGGCCTTGGGCACAGATGGCACAGCACCAATGCCTTGGGAATGGATGTGGCCTGGGGCTTATGTGAAGTGGGCAGGTGGCCTGGGCTGGTTGAGCGGGGTCTTGAGGATGCCTTGCTGACCCTCTGCCCACATGGACTCTACTTTGAGTGCTGAGGTGGCTGAGGCTACATCACCCTGCACCCCACACCTGGAATAGATTGCTCCGAGCTGTCCCTTTGCAGACATCCTGCCCCACCCCCATCCACTGCCCCTGCTGTTGGTTGGAGGGAACTCTGTGAAAACTAGGACCCGCTGGCAGCCTCTGGCTGGAGTTGCCCACAGAGCTCCCAGACCCTGGGCCTGGATGCAATGTCACATCTTGAGGTCACTTCAGAAGACACGCCCAGGAGCTCCTAACGCCGTGGTGATTAGGCTCCTTCCAAAGTAGTGTTTTCTTTGGGCCAAGGGAGGGGCTGTTCTGACTCAGTGATCAGCACAGTCCTGGCCACAAAGGCACCGGGGCCTGGCCGGCCGGCATGCACAGGCTCTTCAGTTCCTCGGGCTAGTTTCAGCAGATGCCAGCACTGTGGGCAGAGGGTGGGTCTGTGCTCAGTCACGTCCCTCCTGAGGGAGATGGGACCCTATGCCAGGTTTGGAGGTGGAGGATGTCATCCATCCTTCATCAGGTCCCTGGAGAAGCCCAGGGCGTCCTGCTGCTTCTCCCTGCTTAATATCGAGTTAGTTTGGGGCTGGCCTCAGAGGGGGGAGTTGGACGAGCCCTGGCCCGGCCTCCCGACATTTCACTCTCCAGGCCTCAGGGTCTTCATCTGTGAGATGACCTTTCTGGGCTTGTCCCTCCACCCCATTCCTCTTAGGATATTCTGAACACCACGCGGGGATGATGGTGTCAGCCTCGGGAGGAATGCGAAGTGTGTCAGGCAGGAGGCTGGGCGTGCTTGGCATGAAGGGGCTGGGTGTGACTCATCAGTGCAGGCTGCTGCAAGGACAGCAAGCCCGTCTGGGGCTCCTGGGTGTGGGGTGAAGCCTGTGTAAGCCCTGGTGCTGTCCGATAGGGGCAAGGCCGGCTGGTGCTCTAGGTCCACAGAGAGCCCAGACTACAACGGTGCCTGTAGTACCTAGAAGGGCCTGGGGGCTGGGGGCAGAGTCGTGAAAGAAAAGAAGCAGCTGAGAGGGATGCCAGCTGTGGATGGACATCCTGGCTCTGGGAGGGAAGATTCTGAGGTGGCCGCATTGGGAGGCAGAGCTGGGGCCCTTTCCTGGGAGGTCTGAGCGAGGCCATGGAAAGGTTCTGTGGGGCTCCCACAGCTTCTCCAAGATGCGGAAGAGGGCTGGGCATGGGCTGGCAGGAGCCCCAGAAGTGCCCTTTGTGTGCTTGGCTGTCCCCAAGGCTGGACTCTGGAGAGGTGGGCGCCCTGGCAGTTTGGATGGGGTCCACATGGCACCCTATGGATCTGTGCTCAGTCTGTGTCTCCTTGCTGCTTCCAGAGCCCCGGAGCTACGTCGAGTCGGTGGTGCGGACGGCAGTGGCTGGGCCCCGATCTCAGGACCCTGAGCCCAAGAGCTTTAGCGCCCCAGCTGCTCAGGCCTATGGCCATGACACACCCCTGAGGAACGGGACCCTGGGCGGCTCCTTTGTCTCCCCTAGCCCCCTCTCCACCAGCAGCCCCATCCTCAGCGCTGACAGGTAAGTGGGGAGGAGGAGCATGTGGGGGGGCGGGTGAGAATCCAGGCCTGGGCCAGCATGGGTGAGACCTCTTGGATCTGCTCAGGGTGTGGACAGGCAGAGATAACATCCAGATGCTCTCCCTGGGAAACCAGCTCCTCAGGGCACCTTGAGAGAGCATCCCCCGAGTGCCACATCCGGGGGCAGCTATAATCCCCAGGCTGAGCTCAATCCCACCACCCAGCACTGTGCTGGAAGGGATGGGGGTATGGAGGTGAACCAGGCGGGGTCGCTCCCCCAAGGTTAAAACCCAGCAGCAGCAATCGCTAGGTAGAGCATGCTTCCTATGGCCAGGCACTTGGCTAACTGTGTCCTGTGGCTATTTTGTTTAATCTTCACAGCACCTATGAGGTAAGTACTATTATCACTCCCACTTTCCAGAAGAGGAAACTGAGGCACAGAGTGGTGAAGTAGCTTGCTCACAGTCCTGCAGCTCAGCAGTAGCAGAAATAGGATTCAGACCCAAGGTCTCTGGTTGGGAGCCCACATCTCTGCCTCCTGACCAGACCTGGGTACTGTGCCCATCAGTCAGAGGTGCCCAAAGCAGGCGCCTAAGTAAAGTTCTCAGAGCCCAGAGCAGGGGGCTGTGACTTCTGACTAAGGGTGCAGGGAGGATTTCTGGGGCTGGATGAGCATGCTGTTTAAAGGTGAGGCGGGAGGGAGAGGGCTTTTCTAGAAGGACGGTACAGCCAGAATTCTTAGAATTCTAAGAATTCTGAACCCTCGAGCCCAGCATGCCCCACCCTCAGTCTACCTTGCCCCTCCTGTCTCCTGCTGGGGCAGACGGCTCCATTTCTCAGGCAATCTGCCTTGGGCAGAGGTATGGTCTTCTTTGAAAGGAAGCGGGGAGGGGGCGGGATCTTCCTCACCTCAGCCACTGTTGCTGGCCTTCGGAGAGCCCTGCCATTAGGAAGTTTCCACTCACATGCCTCCGGCTGTGATCTGGGCTCTTTTCGGAGCTCAGGAAGCTAGCGTTTTCCCTCCAGGACTGATCTTCCAAAACTCCTGTCGCACTCAGCCTGACACATCCTCCCCGCCTCAGAATACAGGTTATTCCTTCCAGAAGTTGGGAGGGAAGATCCTGAGGTGGCCGCATTGGGAGGCAGAGCTTGGGTCTCTGCTTCTTTCTTCCAATCTGGCCCCTTCTGCAATGGGAGGTAGACTTTGTCCTGGTCTAACCCCTGACTTCACCTGGCCCTTGGCTCTTGCCTGGCCCCCCACCTCACATCACCCAGGAGACCTGAGCTAATCCTCCCAGTTGCCAGCTCCAGGCTTTGGCCCATCGTCTTCCTAAGGGGTTCCTCCTCCCCCTGGGCCTCCTGGTGCAGAGCCTGCCTGCCACCACCCTGCAGCTGCTGCTCAGGCGAAGTCCCTGCCAACCTTTGTCTCTCCTCTTCATCGAGGGATGGAAGTTTGTATCTGGAAAGAATCAGGGTCATCTCACCCAACCCCCTTC